GTTTACAGATTTGTGTTGATTGTAGATTTCGTTTGATTTATCACTGTTCGTGATTTTCATCTTTATCATTTTTATTTAATGTAAATTGAGCTAGTACATTAGAGAAATTTACATGGGGAACCATTTACATAACTGGCAGTGTTCATGTGTGATCAAAAATAGTCTCTACCGTAGGAATCGGGAGGTTATATATATATATATATATATATATATATATATATATATATATATATATATATATATATATATATATATACTAGAAGTAGGTAACAAAAACCTTTTTTGGTAATTGAATTTTAAAAAAATTGCCTTCAACGAGCTCGACCGTTACTGGGTATTATGGATGAATCAACTATCGTCAGCAATAGCCAGTCACCAAAACGAGTACAAGTCTAAAAATTACGTAAAAATGCAAAATTTGTTATCTGTTATGCACTAAAACAGTCGCAAAACCTGTACTAATGCAATACTAAAAGTTAACATACAATAAAACCAATAATTTTAGAATTTATTTCATTTTTTAAGCTTTACAACACATGTTTGAATATCTGGTGAGTTTCACATTATCTATTCAAATAACGAGGAGAAATACTGCATTTCGTTTCACATATTTAAATGAATATCACTTAAACTTTGGTTGTAAAGTTTACGTCATTATGCTTCGTATTGTCCCATGTCGTTAGTATGACTATAGATATCCCCCCGGTAATCTTGAGACCATAAACAAAGTAGAGCGGTCCTTAATTCCAATATCTTCTATCCTTTTCCGAGCTTCCGGTTGGTCATGTCTGTATTCTTTACCACTAAATGTCAACCGAATATGTTGCAGCTCAATTCCTACTCTTCCAGCCAAGGTTTCAAATATCTTCAAAAATTCATCTGACTGAAATTGAATTTTATCTATTGTGAAATATATTTTGAAATTTTTTTTGGTTCCCAAATTGTATAGGCCTATTGTTTCAATGAACATTTGAGCTTGATTTTTGATCTTTAGTTCCACATTACATTAAATACTTTTCATCATATTCACTTGACACCTTCTTCAAGAGTGTATGCAAGAAAAGGTTAATTCATGTATAAAGAACATACCTTCTGGACAGTAATGGTTTCACTCTTGTTCCTTGTTGACATCTTAACAAAAATTGTTAGAGACATCTCTCTATGTCACCCTTTCACCAAGTGTTATACGTGTTGTTTTCTGTAAAGACATTCCACGAATGAAAATCGAAACTTGCGGTCTCAATATATAATGGTGAAATGAAAATACAACAAAGTGGAAATTTTCCGTTATCTATTTATAGTATAATTAACTGTATCTTATTTATATATTTTTCAGAACTATTTATGTTTAAATTAACTGTATTCCGTAATAAATTATTAAAAATCTATTTATATATACGTCGATGAAGCGGGTTTTCCAATTTTAATATCATAATTTTTGCTTTCGATTTATTTTCTTTGAATTCTGACAGGTAGCAACTTGGAAAACTGTGACTAAATTTATATAGGTAAAGACTTCGAGAATTTTAATTATGACAGAGTACCTGGCATTCAAGACGTTGTCATCTGATGTACTGTATAATGTACCTAAGGTAAAATGTTTATAAAGTTTTAAATAATGACATTCTATCTTTGTTAATAATATCAAAAGAACTCACAGGAATGAATAGATTGCAAATAGTATGATTTTGAATACACACTTAGGCTGGTACAGTGGATGAGATTAGAAGATCTGTAGCCTCGATGCTTAATACTGAGTATTGGCTGATTGATATTGTCAACATTGAAAACTTCTTCATCTATGATCCAGAAACAACAAGTGACGTCCTGCACAATCCATTTCATGTCATGGTTTGGGCAGAAAGTCGACCATTATCAGGGTGTAAAACTACAACAAAACCTGACATCATCTGGGAGTATGAATCAGAGCCAAGACTAGAACTTTCTTGTGGACATGCAATAAGTAATGTATCATTTAGCAGGAAGAATCTTTGTGCAATTTGAAAAAAATTTGAGCATGTGATCAGATATTTACATGCTAACCAAAAAATCTAAAAATTCTCGCTCTGTTTCCTTTTACGCTAATGTATTTCAAAACGTAAAAATATGCCTTCTGATAAATTAAGATTGACCACTGAACGGTCTATAATTCTTATAACTTAATTTGAAATAAGGAAAAATAGCTGAATCCTTTATATGTGACTATGAAGCATAACACTATAAGGGTCAAAAGTTGTCCAAAGAACTTTTAACAAGCATGCATTGCTCATTTGCCATATCTCTTAATATATTATCTTCTCTACATTGAAGAAATTGAGAGAGCAAAAAAAACAAAAAAAAAAAAACAAAACAAAACAAAACAAAACAAAACAATATATATATATATATATATATATATATATATATATATATATATATATATATATATATATATATATATATATATATATTATCCCATAAAAATTACACTTCTTATTATTGAAAGAAGGAAATAACTGTAAGTTTTCTTGCTTCTTTTGTAGCCCCAGACAATTTGTTTGGACTGCTTCGTAAACTGGTTCTTGAAAGAGGGTATTGTTTACGATGCCCTGGAAAAACAGATTATGGAATATGCAATGAGTTATTTGATAACTTAGACATTTTAAATAAATGCATGCTAAGTGCTGACGAGTACATATTCTACTGTGGAAAACTTTCATTTAACTATATCAACGGATGTAAAAGAAACGAAATTAAGAATTGTCCAAGATGTGATTCGTATTGCGAGAAGCTGAAACGCTTCCAGACACATATTCAATGTAATAAGTGCTCAAATGACTATTTTTACCCATATAAATTTTGTTGGTATTGCATGGGGCCCTGGACACAAGATCATGAATGCTCATCAAACGAAAGTGAACAAAATTTCGAAATTATTCGACAGCTGGAGGATTGTTCAAAAATAACACTTGGATATTCCTATATGGACAATGTTCCTTCAAAACGTCTCTGTCCAAACTGCAAAACTTTGTTGCAGCATGATCAGGCCTGTAAATCTATGACATGTACTATCTGTAAAACAGAGTTTTGTTTGAAAATTGCCCTTGATGGAAAACTTCCATGTGGTGATTTTGATCGACGTTGTCATGTAGCACCGATACAAAGTATTGACTGAATTCTTTGACTAAACCAATGCCACCGCTGCTACTACAAATTTCAGTAGACGTTAAATATACTACATGTAATTCTTTCCAAGTAAAAGGAACAATTTTAAACACATGGTCAAAGGGGCAATTGAAATAAAACATTTATTCCATACGCCCCGATTCTTGATTCGACGCTTAGATAGATTAGTTGTACTTGTATTTCTGGCATCTGTATCGCTTTAAATCAATATAAATGATTACGGATTCCTATTTCTACAATTGTTTTTCTTCTCGAAGATGAAATGCTATTCTTTAATTACTGAATTTCAAGTAAAAATCTTAAAGCAAGTAATGTGATACATGTATACATGAAGCTTAAAATGACTAGGAATTGCAAGACTTCGTGTGCACTATGAAATAACGCTATTTACAGAAAATGGAAATTGATAGAATAAGGATACTAAGGACTTCATTAACTGTGCAAACATGCGTTGAACCAAAAATTTGATCCTTAGATATGAAACTATGTTTTGAGTAACTGTGTGTAACGCTTTTTCGGATTTCCATTTGCTTTTTTTAGAACTGGTAATAATTTTTTACTGAAAATGTAGTAAAAATGTTTAAGATAATGGCATCAAAATAAAACAAAAGAAGTGTTATAGAAACGGTCTTTTGATAACAGTGAACAATTTCTCTTGACAATATGACGGTGTCATCGAGTCATTCAAAGAGAAAAAAATAAATGAAAGCGGATGTAAAGTTTGCTATTGTCTTTTCTTCTATGCCTCATGGAAATGTTTTTTTTTAAATAATAATATACATGTACGTGTATATCACATATTTGATAACGGTCACGTAGTTCTCCTAACTCTGCTTGTGTTGTTTTTAAGTTTTTGAAAAGTATGACACTAGAATTCATGTATGATTCTAGCATTGTTAACCAAAGCAGCTCAAAGGCAACAAAAATAGCGTTAGTGGCATTTTGTAAATTCCAAGAACAGAACTTGAACATTATTTAACGACCTCTTAAGGTATCAACTGCACTTTATGGCTACCTGAATCTGCCAAAAATTGTAATTCGTTTGCTTTTATCAAATAAGCAAATTTAATATCAGCATATTTAATTTAAACAAGTGAAATCAATGTTTTAAATCATCTTATTCTGTTAGTACAGAGAATAAATGCTATACTTATTCTATTGAAGTCATTTATATAATATATTATATATTTTATAATTTCTATCTACATCATGCTTAAGAGTGAATACACAAACATGTTTGCATTTAAAAGAAGAAGTAAAAAATTCAAGATTTATCCAATTTAAGCATATGTTTATTATTAGTACTTGAAATCCTTAAGGTTTTTGTAAATCATGGATTCAAAACGAAAGTAATTTCCACGAAAGAGTACACGTAATGATTACTAAAAAGCCTATCTGCATGACAACTTTCAGTTTATATCCTGTCTAAGTATGGTATTATTTGACTGGTTTCTTATTTACCTCTTCGATATTGCGTCTTAGGTAAGCTCGTTATTACAAACTAATTTTAAATCTAAAAAAGAAATCTAGAATAATCACATCATTATCACTATGTTATTGTTAATTATAGACCTAAGAACGAAAGAATCACTGATTTTTCTACATTTCCGTAACGAGTGCAATGTGCACACACAGGTTAATTAAAATTACTAAAAATTAGACTTCTATTTTAATAAAACTAAATTTCAATAAGCATCTTTTACAACTATAATGGGTATTTAACTTTAACTAAGAACTAACCCATTAAAAAATAACGTGACCTTTTTGAAATGATATGAGATATGTATAGACATGCAAAATCATTTTATCATTGAATTTAGATTGTGGTGAGGGATATGGATTGGTTAAACACAATTCTGTTTAGTGCACTTGTAAGTATTAAGGAAGGTAAAAAAAAAAACCCTATTTTTTATGATTTAAAACCAAACTTACTTTTTGTAAATTTTTACTATATCATTCTTTACATAACGATTTCAGTTCAAGAATAAGATAACAATTTTAATGATGTTCAGGCTACTGATAAGGGTTGATACGTGACCAAGTCTTCCAAAAGGCACTTTATTTACTAATATTTTCATTTTGACTGATTTATACATGTAACAAATGTTTTTTTTTTTTTGTTTTTTGTTTTTGAAACTTAACTGTATAAAATGAATATGTTTATTGCGTCGACTTTTTATGCCTTAACAATCTTATATCAAATAGTTTTGTAGGAGGGAAAACAGTTGGAAATGTAAAATTCAAATTTACTCAAATGTTACAGGATTTCTTTAAAGCCCAGAACTATGAAGATCCATTCCAAATCCAAATTCCAGTTATTGTCGGTCTGTGTTTCTGTCTACTATACGTTATTCAGTTATGTAGAAGAAATCAGAAGTCAGAAAAGGTAACTTTTTGAAATACCCGTATAGGAAATAACCGCATTGTTTTATGTTGTAGCTACCTGTTCCCACCTCTGGAATTTCCAGGGGTCCATGTTTTACTCTTTCTTCACATATTTGCATTGGTTATCAATTCTTTTGAGATCGATCACTTTTTATCTTCAGCTTTTTAGTCTTGATATGTTTATGCATAATTCATAGACTATACTCGCCTGTCATTAATCTTCTAGACAAAAGATTTTAGAACTGGCTCTCCTTTGGAAACCAGGGTATGATTAAATATATTAAGATTATATATATTCTTAAATAATCATTTGATAAGAAAAAAATAATTGAAGAACATGATTTTTTAAATCAGATAGCTAATAAACATTTATTGATTTTTTTTATTTAGAGTTTATGCATTTCGTTTTAAACAGAGCAATATGAAGTAATTTAAATTGAAGAATTAAAGGTGTCTTACAAATGAGTAATGAATAAAATGCAGAGACTCTAAGCCCAAGTTTGAACTTCTTTCATTATATCAATTTTTTTTTTTTTACACATCATCAATAGTATGAGGAAGAAAGAAGACAGAACACCGAAAAGGAGGAAGTTAAGGTATGAATAATATTTTGAACAAAAGATATCTTTATCATTATTTTGTGGATAATTTAGTTAAAAGTACATAAAGGGAAAATCATGTCCATGACACCTTTAGTTATCCTAAATAGTACATTTGAGAATATAGAGATTGACGTGTCTTATATTTTTGATTATTAAAACCTTTTTGTGTTACATCTAAAGGAAACACATGCTAAAGAAAAAAAAAAAAAAAAAAAAAAAAAAAATCTTTAAGCTGAAAATGACTTGTGAAAGCCAAAATCCATATTAGTTTTCCCATCTCCAAAACCAACACTGGGATATACACTTCGCATTCAATAAACCTCATTGCTCTCTGGCTACCCACGTGGCCATACACAACACTTAGCTTACATTACAACTGTTTTTATCTAATTGAATTTTACATTTATATGTGTTTATTCTGACCTTTAAAATAAAACTTCTATATATGACATGTTTCTTTGGTCCTTTTTCTCATGTAGTGGACAAAGATCGCAGCAGTTTCAATTGTTTTCACCAAGAATTTTACATGTGTAAACAGAATATAATAAGATACTTCCGTAGAAAAAACAGACACTGAGATATACATGACCTATTAATTACTTTATCTACGAATCTTGTTCTGCTCTAAGCTGACGTTTTAATGACTATATATATATATATATATATATATATATATATATATATATATATATATATATATATATATATATATATATATATATATATATATAATATCGTAATATACATTTGAAATAATTTAATATTCTTTATTATTTGCTACAGGATCTGGTCATTGATACGACTTTATCTGAGCGAACAATTGAAAACTCAAAACTTTGTACAAAGGAGGTAAGCAAACTACAAAAAATCTACACATTCATGTATATGTACATTGTCTGATATATCTCCTAAATAGAAATAACACTTAATACATTATTTTACAGAGTTGTGTTCAGACAGATTTAAAAATTTCAACTAAGCACAAGAAAGCACAAGCAACAGTGTTTATGAAGGATGCTAGCACACAGACTTACCAAGTTGTAATAATTTTTTATTATTTATACTAACAAAGGTTCCTAAAGTATTGAATTACTATTGTATGATTTAATATTTATTCAGTACTGAAATGTATTCGTTATTCTTTTTTATCTTAAGAAAAATCACCTTATACTTAGTATAGTACAAAAGAGTCACAGGAACAACTTATTACAGAATCCAAGAAGGAAATTAAAAAACAAAACAAACAAAAGGTATATCTTTCTCAGATATTGATTTTTGGACGGAGTATAAAATATCAGAACAAAGTTTTAAAAGTGAATATGCTTTCATTCTTTTTATTCTTATGTATGCAGAAAAAACCAAGAAAGAATAAAAAGCGTTCTAAGGATCCTAACAAAAATGGCATCAAATGGAACACAGATAAGGTAAAACATGCAAATAAAAAATGTTAAATGAAATCTTTAAAACAGTTGTGTTTATAGATTATATTGAAGAAACTTTTTAATTTATACCTTAGGTACCAAGCTCTAACGTGGTTGAATTTGAACCTCCAAAGGTAACTTACCAAGTAGAAGAAAGAGAGATAGAAAGATGCACATATTATATATATATATATATATATATATATATATATATATATATATATATATATATATATATATATATATATATATATATATATATATATATAAAGAGAGAGAGTAAAAAAGAATCATATTATTTTATCGGAAAAGACAAAGAGCAAATGCATTATGATAAATAAAATAACAATCCAAAATTAACGGTGCAAATGTATGTTTATTTGCAAAATGTTCAATCGACCTACAGGAATTTGTTTTTTTTTTCAATATGCGAACCTTTTCATACAAACAAACACACACAGGCACGTTTACGGTTTTGATCTTTGCAAATATTCATGTATCTATTAATTTTTTGAAACTGCTCATGTGTTTTATAGGGAAACAGAAACCTTGGAAACACGTGCTTTTTTAATTCGTCCTTGCAGGTACACGATTTTTCTTAAAATCTATGATGCATAAGTTGCTTTTGTGCACAATAAAAGCACTTTAAAACTAATAATCTATTTACAGGCATTGTATTTCACGAAGTCTCTAAGGGAAGTACTCACATATTTAAAGGTAAGGATGACTTTACTCTACTTCTTGCATCATTTTGTTTTTTACGGCTTTTGGTAATAATATTTTGTTTTGATAAGTAAATTATTTTGATAAAAAGGATTCGGACGCAAACTTTGAGAATATGATACTAAGCCAAAGGTTACTTGACTTACTGGAAAAACAATCGAAGAAAGATGAAGATCACACAAATGAGTTAAAGGGAGTTTTGAATGCCGTAAGGAACATGTAAGTAATAGAAAACAGCTTCCTGCAAACTAATAACATAGCAGTTAACTGCATAGTTTCATGCACAAACCTGATATATATATATATATATATATATATATATATATATATATATATATATATATATATATATATATATATATATATATATATGCTTAATCCTTGCATTTTTCAGAAACAACCAATTTGGCCGTGGCACACAGGAGGATAGCTATGAACTATTAAATACACTGCTAGGTGGCATCCTTGACGAAATCATACAAAATGTAGTGAGTTTTTGTATCACATTTGCAATTATATATATTTTTATATTTAAGGTATTATTTGAATGTCTTTATTTGGAAATTTAACAATATACGACTTTTTCAGAAATCAGGAAGAGAAGAGGGTATTTGTCAAGGTACAATTTAACAAATAAGATTCAAATAAATGAAATAATTCCATTCCATCAATTTAAAGATAACAACTAATACTTCTATACTACGAAGAAAAAATCAATTTTGTAGATCTAAAAAATAACTGGACGAATGCTAACATAAAGAATCTGTTTTCCGGTTTATATATCACAATATATTTCTACGAAACTTGTGAAGATGTGAGTAAAATGTTAATCTAGTTTTTAGAATATTAAAGAAACAGAAGAATAAAGCTCACTTTGAATTTATATAATTTTTAATAATTTTCCAAAAATCATTTACCTCTACCTATTTTAGAGTAAATTTTTCTTTACACTTTTCGATAAACAAATTTTTTAATGAATATCGATTGTAGGCATTTATTATTTTATCTACAGAAAAATACATATATAATCAGGTACATGTAACATTATAGCTAAACTTTAATGCCCTGTTTAATACGTGTATCATATTTGAAGGTTGAAGTGGAATTCGAGGACTTTACAACGTTAAGCATTCCAATAGTTGAAGAATTTGACAATGAATTTATCGTAAGATATAGAATTTGATTCAAATCAAATTCAATATATTCCATGTTAAAATTTAATACTATTTGGAATTAAAAGGTAAAATTATATTGTATAATAAATTTAAAAAAGGGTTATTATTATAAATATTTTCTTATTTCAGCACACGCACCACAAAGCTCTAAATGCAGTTTGCTTAAAGGAGCCTGAAAACGACATTGAAAAGGGACTTGCCAGTTTAACACAAATAGAAGAGTACGAAGAAAGAGATTTGCCTTGTCGCCTTTGCAAAACAGGTGAAATTGATACGAATTTGGCGCTCCAGTTGATATTTAGGACAGGACCCTGAGGAATTGCCCATATTTATTTTACAATATGTGTGACTTTTTGATATGCCAATGTATTAGAAAACCACGCGGGTATGTTAAGGAAGCATACAAATCATTTCTCGGGAATTTTAAACTTTAAAAAAAAAAAAAGATTGATAATTTATCAAAGTCGCTGATAAAACGTAAACTATTATTAAATATTACATAAAGACACGGAGTGTCTGAGGCCAAGTAGTGCACCACCTCGACGTCATCACGTGACTGCTATTAATAGCAAAATATTCCTTAATAAAAATATTCACAGAACAACACTACCCCGGGGTTTAATAATTTCTTTGAGTAAATAATATAGTTGAAAAACATTTCTTATGTCTAAAAAGTGCCGCTAGAATCCCACTGTCCGGTCGGGAAAATAGTTATTCCACATATTTGCACGAAACCTTACCCGATGTTTTGCATTTTATACATATAACCGATTTCTTCAAACCATGTTTACCTCACGATTCTAGCAGTACTTTCCAAGAATTTTAGAACACATGTTTTTGATATGTACAAATCTTATGTTTTTAAGTATCCAGCTTGGTGTTGTTCTTTTGCATTATTGTTGTCACGAATGACAGAGGAAAGGCCAACCGGGATACGTAAATAGCTGACTGTCTTCAATAGAAGATATAATCGATGAAAATAAATCAACATACCCGTTAAACATATTTTAACTTCACATGAATAACACACAATATTCACGGTATTTGCTTCGAAACCCCCTTTTATGTCTTTTTTCACGCCCAATTCTCGTTACGCAACATGATCGATTCTCAAGTTACTTGTTGAACAGTTATGACGTTATCAGTCGGAGATTTTAATTCAACTGACAGATACAACATAACAAAATAAAAAACATTTGATTTTTGGTAATATTTGCACATTTCTTTTCATTTTCAGGAGTTAAATTATGTCTCTTAATAACAGTATTAAGAAAACTTGTGTTTTAAACTTGACGTCAACCCGCCTACTATGGCGTCATATTGTATCACTGATTTAGTCAAGTCAGATTATCTTAGTGCTTCCTTAACACACCTGCGCAATGCTTAATTTGACCACGGGTATTTAGTGCGAAAATGATCTATGAATGAAAATATAAAGAAAAAGAGAGGGGGTCGTTCAATATATTATGCAAAATGTCATCTGAAAATAAGAAAAGTGCTTAAAAAGATTCTTAATATTTTCAATTAACCCTTTAGAGAAGTCATGTCTTTGTACCCATGACCAGAAAACCTCAACAAACTCAGCTTTAGGAATGCCCAAAAGACGCCAATGAATAGCACTTCCCATGACATGTCTGAAATTTTACTACTTTCCTTTAATTATGTTCATGCGTTTGTGGAATAAAAACACCCTACAATGGCTGATATCTAATACACATTGACAATGCCAAAGCTCTATCAATTTCCCTTTTTGAAAATTTCTTTTCTTTTCTTTATGTGTATTTGCGGCAGCAATGTCTGGTACTAGAAAATAACCCCAGGGACCAGTATTTGCACTTCTTATGCAAGAAATCTGCTGATCTATTTTGTGAAGTTTTAAAAAAAAAGTAACCACTGATGATCCTTTAATTTCTTTGGGTGTGTACGCATGTTTCACTTGACCTCTCGAAAAAATATCAAAAAAAATGTTTCGAACCCTTTCTTCTCTTTATAATAAAAGAACGAAAACTTTTTCTCTGATTCACATTTTATTATTGATATTTTTCGGCTATAAAAGGTGCATCTATGTTTCGTGATGCATCATGCAAGTTCATCAAATCTTTTTTATCACTAAAAATAATATTTTTTTTAAATGTACCATTCAATGGCAGATTGAACACGTGTTTTCTCTTAGGCATTTGGGAAAAAACACTTAAATAATAGAAATATTACTATATTCATTTCCTTTATCAATGTTCTTTGAACTGTTGTGATGATGAAATGTTAAGTGTCTTGGCAATGTCTATCAGTTTAAATCTGACCTTCTGATCACATTATTCATATTTTTGGTGTCCCTTCAGATTTCGATCGACCAGATTCACGGCTATGTTAATTCTTATCGTTTACCTTTAGTTTTTATTTCTGAATCCATCTGAAAACTATATAGCGTTAAAGAACAGTCTCTCTGTACATTAAAATCATATCTTTAATATGAGTTGTTCGGCGAGAAATGTAATAATGCAAAGTATTCTCATACGCTTTCAGTTTCATCGTCTTGTAAGAGGTCGTGTTTAAACATTTTTTTAGCTCGATGTAGTGGCTATACGTACTTTCAAAGTGAATTTCGTTGCGAGGACAATTGGAAAAGTCATGAGATTTTCTGTGATTAGGAATTCTTTTATGGAACTTTTTGACTGTGAAGAAAATGAAACTTAATTATTTTATACTTCTACATATATTATTGTAAACTGTATGATTTTATTTATTGAACGACCCCTGTTGAGGAAAATAGAAACCTTTTTGCCCTCTCCTTAAAAATAGCGAAAAAATGTGCAAATTCTTTCTCATTACATCAGATGATTATAAGTTTTAATTAAACATGTTTTAATATAAGCAATATGATGTTACAAAAATGTATGTAATTAGCAGAGGGAACAGGCAAAGTTTACAGACGATTGTTGATATATCAACCTCCTCCAATACTCATCATACATATCGATAGATTTAAAATGGTACGTTCATCTGATATTTATATCTATGAGTGTCTAATTCTTCGGTCTAAGTTACTCTAAACTTTAAAAAGACTATACAGTTTTATTTATTTAGAGTGGTTTTGATCAGCTAACCAAAAATTCGGATATGGTACAGTATCTTCGCACACTCTGCCTTTCAAAATTTTGCTCGGTGGCAAACAAGGTGAGTTTTTTTTCCTTTAAAACATTTTGGCATAGGAAGCATTACAAAAAATAATTTTCCAATTATTTTATGTGCATTACAGAATATATCAGAAGGCACTGTGACCTATGAACTTTATGCAGTTGTGGTCCATAGTGGTGGAATAAACAGTGGTCATTATTATGCCTACGTAAATACATCTAGAAAACACGATATTGAAAGGTGGCAGGAAGTAATCAAGAGAGAGGCTGGGAACCTTGACAATTTGAAATCAGAATTAGAAAATGTTTTGAAAGGAAGCATAGAAACCAGATTATATGAAAGAAATGTCATTGTACAGGCACCTGAGGCTCCAGAAAAATGGTTTTATGTCAGTGACGAACATGTTCAATCTGTGAGCTCAGACACAGTTTTTAACCAGAAGGATGCTTACATTTTGTTTTACGAAATTCAATAACTGTGACATTTTTAGCATTTTTGCTAAAAAAAAAAAAAAAAAATAAAATAAAATAAAATAAATAAATAAATAATGCAAAAAACTGGTTCTGTTATTTTTTTTTAAAAGTATAATAAACAAAAAGTTTATATAATTTCGCGAAGTATACATTTATATAAACATGAAGAATATATATATATATATATATATATATATATATATATATATATATATATATATATATATATATATATAAGACTCCAAAGTCCGATGGTCACGCCAAAGTCCGACGGTCTGCGCCTAATCCCGATGGTTTGATGTCGATACGGACGCCAGAGTCCGATGGTTATGCCAAAGTCCGATGGCTCGTTTCCTATGAGACGCACTGTTCTAAAGTGCAATGGTCTGATACGCCAAAGTTCGATTGTTCGGAGAAACAATCAACGTTTATGACGTCACAATATTCCGACGTCAATTCTTGACGCCGTTGTCCAGTATTCAAAATCCCATCACTTCAGTATTTGTCCTTGCATACAATTTCTTTATTGCTTGCACCCACCAGAGATATTAGGGTTAGTTCTCGCATACCACTCGTCTGATCAGTGTTAGTCCTTGCACACTATAGGACCGATGAAGGGATAGCTTCGCACCAACCCGAGAGATTTAGGGTTGGTCCTCACACACTATTCGACTGATTAGGGTTAGTCTTGCATCATCCCAAGATATCTAGGTTAAAGTTCTTACACACTTTTTGGCCGATAAGGGTTAAACAACATAAAATCAATCAATGAATGGCACCTCTCCGAGAGATTAGGGTTAGTCCTCGCATAATAAATTTATTTGTATTTATCTGAGATCTTGGCATGGCGCGGCATCGTAATATGGCGCAGTAGTACTATGACGTCACAAATGTTAATTGTTTTCGGCACCATCGGACTTTGGCGTGTCAAACCATCGCGGTTTGGCGCAGACCATCGGACTTTGGCGTGACCCTCGGACTTTGGAGTCCCATTGCACTTTGGAGTCCTACACAACCACCCACACACACAGATATAAATATATATATGATTGCGCCCATGACAAAAGGGCCTTATGGCAATTTTGCTAAAACAGAGAAATAACGTCATAAAGATATGACGTTGCAGACGGTGAGCGTCGACTCAGATTTTTTTTATCCACGTGTTTTACATTTTGACACGTCTAGCTCACTTTTGTCGTTGTTCTCAACATTGAAATAATTATTTATTTTCATTTATATCTTTAATTCACGTCTTGATCTTCTAGTCCACTGATATTAATTAAAATATTTAGAATTTTATTCGAGACCCGTTTCTTTACCACATGTTATTATAGCTAATATACGTCTCTGATCTGGGCTATGCATTTCCTATACATGTATAGAAGCGTCAGACAAGGTGATTTCCTGAATAATTGAATATGGATGAACGAATGCGATTTTGATATATATAGACAAATTGAAGTTATTTGTTAGACACGGGTATATTATCAAAATGTTCGTTTTCCTGTATAAGATCCGCCCCACCATTCTCAACACATCGATCATGTAAACATTGAAGCATTGGTACATCGTGCATAAACTTTTGTTGTAAAATGCTTTAATTGCCAAAAATTTGAAACTGATCACACTTCTTCCAACAGAAAAGAAAAGTATTCTTGTCACAAATCTAGCAAAAGAAAGAACGAATGACAGACGTGATATTATTTTTAAAAACTATAAATAAAAACAAGAGAGGTAACTCTGACAAGCGAGATACTAGAGAGGTACCAGAGAGGGACTTTCTTTTTTTCTTTTTAAACCATTCAAATCAACATACTCATACAAATTTGCTCCCGTAGTATAAAAAATATTAAAAATCTTACTTATCATCAGTTAAAAAACGTTTTAATTGTAAGTATTATATTTATATTTTCTTTAAAAGTTTTTTGAAAGCTCATGGAACTAGCTGCTGTCAAAATGAAAGAGAAAAAAAATATAGAATAAGAGATAGATGCTACATTGAACCATACTTTCATTTATTTTTTTTTAAAATCTGTTACATGTGCATCTATTTCATTCATTCATTCCATCTTTATTTCCTCTTTTCAGAGATTTTATAACACAAGTCTTATAATTACATGTTATATCATGAAATTGTAAATTGACAAATCAAAAAAAAAAAAAGGGAAAAGAAAAAGGAAAGACAAACCTATTTACAAGATCAGTAGTATACTGGGAATAAAAAATTATGTTCGAGTGGAAGCCCTGCTAAAAAAGGCAGAGGCTTCGCAGATGAACTTTGCACAACAACAAATAAATTCTTTTTGATCATGATCGATTATGCAATAGATGTAACTCTAACAGTGTAGATGATGAAACTCATTTTCTCATAACATGTAAAAAATATGATCATCAAAGAAAAGAAATTTTTCAATCAATTAAAAGTAAATTTCCAAATTTCTCGGCATTAGATGATGAACAAAAACTTTTTTGGTTACTCAATACTGAAGACAAAGAAACTCTTAATTCTGTGGGCAAATTCATAAATGATAACATGTTGTAGTAGTCATACAGTTTTATATATAGTATTCCCTTTAACTGAAATAGTACAATATTATTGTTGAAATGAGTAATGTCATTTACAAGTTGTTATACTATCCATTGGCATATCTTTTCTTTATTATTGTAATAATTTCATACTTGTCTGTTATGGGCTCTAAATTAGAAAATAAATGTTCTGTTCTGTTCTGTTTGTCTTTCAACGTTAACTTTGGAAGGCCACCTAATAATGTTAAATACAATTCATAATCACACAAGTGAGTTAACTCTATATATAAATGAACATCAAATTTATTCACTACGCAATCAAAAAATGAGTTTCTGACATGCTCTGTGGCGGAGCACCACAACACAGCATGCTGGAATGGATCGCTATATATTTTTTCACAGAGAAAACATGTTTGTTAGCATAACTGAGGCGTTAAAGTCCATAATTTTGCGACAAATTTTATCAGTCTGATTTCATCAAAAGAAAAGTTGAATTTGTATATCTTTGCTGGAGTTATGCTTCGAACGATGTAAATCTTGAAACAATACGAAGTCTCTGTCGTTTTCGGTTCTGGTTGTCCAGGCTATGTTTTGATACTGATGGATTGATTGGCGCACGATGTTTTTCCAGGCATATTTTTCAGGAAACCTTGCTTCATTTAGAAATATCTGTAGATAATTTAAAAGTTTGTATTTCGATAAAATTTGCCAAATGTCTCGCACAAAACTAGTGACTAGGCCTACTTCGCGACTCTAGAGCAGACGCTCTAACAACTGCGCCACGCGGGCGACATTTATTCATAGTAAAATATATATATATATATATATATATATATATATATATATATATATATATATATATGAACGTTCATTATTTTTTTTTCTCCAAAAATAGTCAAAACCATATTATATACACATTCACATTAAATTTACTTCTACGCAGTCATTCTTAAAATACTGAAGGTATTTTTATCAACCGCTGACAATTATTTTGATTTAAAGTTTCCAAATTATTCAACCACATACAAACTTTTACACACACAAACACACTAAATGCTCTGACAGCATATATTGCTATTTTACTGGAATTGCAAGACACTTTCCTAAAAAAATTGATTGATTGATTATATGTTGTTTAACGTCCCATTCGAGAATTCCTTTTATAATTGAAAATTGTGAGAATTCTGCACTTTTACCAGGTCACCACAGAAGAGGATCTGCTACATATTCATTTACCCCAAACTCTGATTTTTTAAACATTGGATGTAAAAGTAGAGGCCCATGGGCTATAAGCCCTTCTGAGTCACTTTGGCCCTACTGTGAAATTCAGATTGTTTCTCAAAAAACATGTATTTCTGTGTGATTGCTTTTCGTTACCCAAGCTTATATGCAGCGGTCTTGATTTGAACAAAAAAATATACTACCATACTTTTAACCGTGAATCACCATGGCTTGTAAAGAGGAGTTTCAAAGAGTTTTCCTACCTTACCCCAGGGGCTCATTATTTGAACAATTTACAAGCTACATTATCCAAGAATTAAAGCTATCATCTGATTTTCAGCTTTTCTGGTTCAGTATTTACTGCAAAGAAGACTCTTAAAACTTCTTCCTTCATATTTCAATATAACACTTGAAATATTTACTGTGGTCCCACCCTACACCGGGATACGGGATGTGTTTCGAACAATTGAAAATCTATGCAACCTGACGGTGCTTAAACATAAGTCTTATCTTCTCTGTCTCAGTGGATATTGAGATTATTTTTGTAGATTTTTCCTAGATATTTCAATGTAAAAATTTAATTTCCGTTTGTGGCCCAACCCGACCCCCGTTGGTAATGTTTTGAACATTTAGAATCAACCCAATCTCAGAAAACTTCCTCATATGTATCAGTTTTTCTGGCCAAGTAGTTCTTTTGAAGATTTTCTAATGTCTAATCCTTTTTTTGCCTTTCCTAATTCTCTCCCCATTGGGGGGGGGGGGGGCTTTGCTATTCTTTTTAACAATTTAGAGCCCACTTTACTCAGGAATGCTTTATTTTGGTTGAATTCCGGCCACGGAGGTCAAGGTTATGCTAGTAGAGTGAGGGGGTATTTTTTGCTCCTCTGTTAAAAAGTGGATTTTTAGAGTGTTAAAGTGTTTCTTTGGTGGACAAAATACTAAATATTGTGTGGTATAGATCCATAAAAAAGGCTGAATTTGTTGACAAGAAAATTTGGACTTTGTGAAAATCTATTATCAAGTGTTAATGGAAGCACTGAGTTGTGTTAACATGTATTCCATTACCAGAAGTTGTAGTGTATAAAAAGGTAACCCCTTGTGTGTATGTTCAGAGTCAGTGTTCATTGAACCAAATAGTGTAACAATGGCTAAACATCCCAAGGACACAAAAGAAGAGTAAAACATGAGAAAGTTTCTGGTCCATTGCTTTAGCAATCAACTCTTTTTCTTACAAGAGTGCAATAAGAGATAAAAT